GAGAGGGAGTGTTAGAGCTAGCTGAATAAGGGTAGATTAGTCATTTTATTTCTGTTAAGTTATGTGCTTATGTGGCAGTTTTAATAGAGACTTCCTGTCCCAYACTTAAGTGGGGGMAGTTTAGTCTTTGTACTACTAATTAGAGGCTAATCCATATTAGGGTCGACTGATAGGGTTTAGGCTATCATGTTTGATTGTTCTCTTCTTCTTCTTCTTCTTCTTCTTCTTCTTCTGGTTCGAACTACTGTAGCTACAGGACAAACAGATTTGAACTCTATTTCTTTATTCGATCTTGGTTTGGTTAAATATTCTATGAGCTCGAGTTTGGCTCGAAAGCTTAAAAATGAGTATATTTTTATATTATATATATTAAATATATAGTATATTCTTATATTATAGAATATAAAAATATATTTTTATAATAACTAACCGAGCCAAACTTTTTATTAGTCAAGCTCGAGTTTGAATTACTAATAGAGATTGCCTTCAGATTTGAACTCGATTAGAATCGAACCTGAGCCGATCCTAATTGAACTCAAGCCTGAAGTATTTCATTAGATTCGATTTGATTGCAGCCCTACTAGTAGTGCTCTCTCTCTCTGTCTATCTCACTATTTTTTTGTTTTTGTTCTGTATCTTTTCTGGGCTAATTGGCCTGGTACATATTGGATATCTGTTTCTTTTTCTCTCATTTAATTTTTATTCTTTTTCGTATGGGAGAGTAGGGATTCTGACGTATTTGAGATACAAGGGAGTTTGCATAGCCAGGGGAGTATTCCAGAAGTGGAACCAATAGAACCATGTTTTCCTGCAAAGAGATGAAAAGGAATAATATCCTGACATGGTGACGAGGTTGAATAAGAAAATGAGATTACCTTTAGAATTCAGTTAACTGTGCAGAGTGGGGCTGATAGTAACTGTAATTGAAATTGACTCTCAAAAGATAAAGCTACCACAAGCTTTTATCATTATTCATATTCAGATGTACCCAATATTACCTCACCCCACAAGCTTTTTTTATCAGCAAAATGAAAATTTATTTAATCAGAATAAAAAGAGTACAACCATGCTGGAAGAACTTCCTACAACCTATTTGTTTTACAATAGTATGTCAATTGCAACTTAGGCCAAAATAATTACTGCCCATAGACCCCTTGGGGTATGCCTGTTTCTTTAAAGGTACTGCCCATCTCTTTAGCTACACAATTAATTTCACTTGGGGTATGCCTCTACAACCAAGCACCTGAAGTATTACAGCTTGTCCAAGTTATGACTAATTGTGAATCCCCATCCACATCCACCTGTTGAAACCCAAGATGCTTTGCTATCCTTGGTCCTTGAAGCAGTGCCATTGACACAGCTCTCTAAGAATCCCCAAGTCCAGTCAGACCTAAGTACATTGCCACAATCTTACCTCCCATACCCCCAACAGCCACTGGGCCTGGATTACCCAAGGAGTTTCTGTCAACATTCAGATTAATCTTGTTATTTTCTGGAGGTTTCCATTCCATTATCACTTTGTCCTTAACTGTAGAGGAATTTGCCACTTGAAATTAACTTACAATTTCAAGTGAAGATTTAAAATCTGGGGAAGAGGGTTGCACTGCTGACTGTGAACTGAGAAGTCGTTGATGGGGATCAAGTATATGAATTACTGGACCAATTTTAGGTGAGAACTTATGATTCCTAGATACCTGTACAAGGATGCTCCATTGTGTTGGATTTAGACACCTGATCCATCAAGTGTCCTTGCTGTATCTGGGTGGCAGGTGTGAATTCTTTTTTGATTTGGACATGCATAGTTTGTCTGATCAACTCACGGATTCAGGTGGTTAGAAGGTTAAACTTCATGCCCACCAGAAGTTGGGTTACAAGTAACTAACAGAGTAAGGCATCCAGAAAGGAGCGATCTCTCTGTTATATGCAGTTGCAGTCAATGAGATCAAAGACGATAAGAGGATGAAAGCAGTGAAAGATCTATTGGTTTGCTGTCATTGATTTAAGGGTGATAGATCAGCTTTATACACGTTCATCTTCTGCAAAACCTCAAATCTGGATAGTTTAATCTGCAATGAAGATGGAGATTTACTGCTTCAAAGTATCCAAGAAGGTATGTTGTGAATCTAGTGGAAAATCCAGAGAATAGTTGCTGCTTTTCTTCTAGTATCCGAGTACTACTGGATATTAACAATGAGAAAAATGAATCACATGTTTCTCCAACACTGATTTTAAGAGGAGAAAAAGAAAAACTGTAGGGAAGAACAGAAATTAAGTGCAATTCTCATTCCATTTTTCTGTTCCGAACAAATTGACATGTATTTATAGAACTCCTCAAAGCTCTGACTAAAATAAAATTTTGGTATAATTACTAAAACTGCAGCCAACTGCTAAGTAGGATCTTATGAACTCCTAAAAATAGAAACTGAGGAAAATAGAAATACAGCAAAATAGAAACTAGTGGCTTGGACCAGGTTGAGTCCAACAAGGGTAGTCCAGTTAGGACAACATAGTTTAAAAGAATTTTTCAGTGGGGCCATCTTGGTCCTTAGAGGGTGCTGGATCAGCCCATCTGCCTGTGTATTTGCATATATGTTGTTGCTGGCAAGGAAACCAACACCAATGATGAGAAAGCACTTCTTAAGTAAAAAAGATACAATGGCAGTAAACATGAATAGAATACTTTTACCCACTTTTGCTTTACAGAGGCCATGGAAGCTTCTGATATTGCACTTGTTGAACAAGCATTAAATCTTTGCTCAGAGAGAGTGGTACAATGCAACTAGAAGGTGGGCCTTTATTGTTACAATTTTTTTGATAAATTTTATTGTTACATTTTTTTAATATTAGGCAAACTACAACGTATTTAAATAAGCAGGAAAATCCAAAATAGTACATACAACACCACTAACATTTACCATCCATTCTGGAGCAGTGTCAACACAATAAAACCTGGTCTTGTAATTGACTATATGAACTATTTTATGTTGTCGCTTTAATTTTTTAGGTTTATGTATGGGGGTTTTGTTTCAGTTTCTGTCTTTTTCTGGGAGATGTTACAAGTGGAGGGGGCTAGAAGAGCTAGGGGTAGACTAAAAAGGACATGGGTAGAACCATAGAAGTAGTAAGTAGTAAGAAGTGATTTAAGCACTAATAGTTTGACAGTGGATATGGTTTTAAATAGATGATGACGATTTATGATTATGGGACAAGGCATGGATGATGATGATTCCTAGTTTATGATTCTACTTTCTTTTTCTTAATTTCCGGTGTATTGACAGTTCTCTTAAAATCGACTTACCAGTAAATCTACACGAGATTATTGCTTTTCAGTTTCTTCAATTTGAAGGTTTCATTTGGTAGTCAGGTGTGCTTGGGTAGTGGTGTCTTGTGGTTCCTTGTATTGATGGTATTCAGCAGATTATTGTGGTCCCTTTAGTGTGTCTTGTTTATTTGGATCTTTGGTCGGTGCATTTCTGCTCATGGCTTTTCATTTGGAAATTTTCTACTATTGATGTTGGTGTTGCTTTAATTCTTAGGGAAGCAGAGCTTTGAATTTTCCTTTTAGGTCTTCCTCTTGTGCATGTTTCTTTTCCTTTCGGCTCTTGTCATCCATTGGCTTAGTATTCTATTGTGTATATGCCTTTATGAAAGCCCAAGTTTGGAGATCTTTCTTTAGTTTCATAAGAAGGGCATATTATTGTGATTTTCTATATAGGTTTCAGAAATATTATGTTATAAAATCTGACTATTTCATATTCTTCTCACTTGTGGTGTTTTTGTATTGATTTGAATTTCTCATAATCTGATTTATGACTGCAAATATATATTGTACTCAGCCATGCATCAAACAATGTGTTGGATGGGCTGAACATGTTTGATGGCACCGACGGTCAGTACTTCCACTCTGGATCCCGTGGATATCATTGGATGTGGGATTCTCGCCTTTTCAACTATGGACACTGGGAAGTATGTTCTTTGTGTTAACCTTTTTTTTTTGTGATGAATGAAGATTTCTTTGTGTTAACCTTTTAGTTATTATATTTTCTCATGAATGTTATTAATTCTTTTCTGGTGTTGATTTCTATGGTCAAAATGAACTAATTCATTCCTCGTATGATTCTTTTAGGTTCTAAGATTTCTTCTTTCAAATGCAAGATGGTGGCTGGAAGAGTACAAATTTGATGGTTTCAGATTTGATGGTGTTACTTCAATGATGTACACTCATCATGGGTTGCAGGTGAATATTGGAGATCGACTTCTTTGGTTGGCATGCTTATGTGCTCTTGGCTCATTCTAAAGGAAGTGACTCCTTGAGTAGTTGGTGATGAAATAATTCGATGATTTTTTACATCATAAATAGTGCATGGAATATTATTTCTGATGTTTAGGACATGATTATGGGTAGAAATATGCCACAAATACAAACTTGCTTCTTTCATTGATCATCATTTGCAGTTGGTATATGGTTTTTGTTTTAGGTAAAGGAGCATTTTGTTGGATATTCCTTTGCAATAGTATTCCTACTTAGTGAATTTTCTTATCTATAAATTGCTAATCTATTGCAATGACATGGTGTGTTGTGATTGCTCTTTGAAAACTACAATTATAAAACGTATCAATTGATATGCTTGTCTTTGAAAACTAAGAATCTTTACTCTTGTTAAGATAACACTACAAGAGTGCACCATCTTTACCAAGATTATTTCAATTTGCAATAGAGAAATCAGAGTACTATGCTAGTATAAGAAATCTCAGGACTGAACCCAACATCTCTCATCCCTTAACCTTATATGTTAAAATTAAGCAACAACAGAGGGAACAACTTGATGTGACCCAGTTCTTGGTGGGTTTAAAGTTAGAGTATGAGTCGGTTAGAGCAAAGATATTGGGTGGTTTTTTTCTCCCCATTCTTGAGGAGGTGTTTGCTCGACTCTGTAGGACTTCTCTTGGACCTACAAAAAGCACAACTACTTCTGATAGGTGAGCATTTGTTGTAGTAAGAGGGGGAGGTCATGGAGTTTGAAGAGGACATGGTGGTCCTATGTTTAGCCATGGTGGTGGAGGTAGTGGAGGTCAGGATTCAAGGGGAGGTCGTGGTAGAGGATGAGGCAATGGTCCTAGGAAGTGCACTTACTTTGGAATGGAGTGACATACTGTTAACTTCTCTTATGATCTACATGATCCACTTTCTACATGGGCCAACCATGCTGTGATTGGCTAGAAAACATCTTGTTCTAATGGATCCTGAGGTACTCGAAAGGCCCAAATTGGCAGGACATTTACTAGTCAGTGGAGGGGTGGTTTTAATTGGGGTGAAGTGGTGAACTTTATTGAAAGTCTTGATATTGATAAGGTCTCTGTTACTGATAAAAAAGTTTGACTTGCATGCTGTTTAGAATATATTTCTGATAATTTTACACTTGAATGTCTTGATACACTTTGTATGTTGTATTATCAAAATTTTCAAATGGTTCTTCATTTGGTTCAGATAAAGAATTTTCCTCATTAGACCTTATTAATATAGAAGTTTCCAAATGTCAAGCAAGCTAAATATCCACTGGGTAGCTCTTGTATGCTGGGAAATGGCAATTTGCTATCAATATGGAAAGTTGTTTTGTTTGTACTGAAGRGGCCATCACCTAAGTTTTTTTTTTTTCAAGTTCATACTTATCTTGTTCTTAACAAGTAAATCTGGAGTATTTTCTCATTTTCAATTTTCAGATCTTGCTTTTCTTTTTTGTCCTCTCTCTAGATGTCAGTTGTGTTATTATGCTTTCTCCTCATTTTCATGTTTACCATTTCTACTTTACACTGCTGGCAGGTAGCATTCACAGGAAACTATAATGAGTACTTTGGCTATGCAACTGATGTAGATGCTATTGTTTATCTGATGCTAGTAAATGATCTTATTCATGGACTCTTCCCTGAGGCAGTTACCATAGGTGAAGATGTAAGTGAAGTTCTTTTTCTCCATGAAGAACCTATGCCATATCTTCACTAGAATACATGGGTTACCGGCGTGAAGATATGCTTCCATTAATAAAGAGCATATCAACCGAATGTTTTTTTTGTGGTTGTGTATGGAGACACTTCATTTCTTCATTCTGTTTACTATGGTTCATTGTGTATCATCTTAGGTTCTGAATATATGAGCTTAGATAGCAGTTATATCCATTGGGTTTGATGAATTTGAAATATTAATCACCACCCAGGTAACAAGGTGACAAAATACTCTTGAGCCCAAACTGTCAACAAAGCTACCCAAAAAAAATAACAATTTGGGATCCTACTTAAAAAAATCAAAATCAAAATATGTTTACATTTCTCTCCTTTTTTTCATTTCTTCTTTTTTTTTGCTCATCACCTTCAATCTCCTTACTCTTAAAAATTCTTCTCTTCTTTCCAATCTGTGCAAAGGAAGTTCCTCATTTTCTTTTCAATGCTTGCTGCCATACTAGAAGGAAGAAGGAAGTTCGTTATTTTCTTACCCCCTTTTGACAGGTATTTTTCTGAGGCTACTTCAAACCATGTTAATGTTGCCATTAAGATCTCTACCTGATGCTGAGAAGCATTGCAGAAAAAATCAAGTATCATCCACATATTGTAACAAGGACATTTCCACCCTCTCCTCCCCCACCACAAAACCTTCCACCAAACCTCTCATTACTGCTTTCTTTGCCATCTTGTTCAAAGCTTCCATAACACAGCTAAACAAGAATGGTGAGAGGGGGTCCCCTTGGCTAATTCCTCTGAAGCTTTTGATGCTTCCAACTTCCACCCCATTCACTATTACTGAGAGAGAGAAGTGGAGATGCACACCTTTATTCAGTTTTTCCATTTAGAGATAAAGTTTATTTTCCTCAAAATATAATCAAGAATTGCCAATTCACATGACCATATGCCTTCTCTAAGTCAATCTCACACAACAACCCATTCCTTCTACTTTTTAGCCTAGCATCAATCATCTCATTTGCCTCCAGCACCGCATCAACCATCACATCAGTCTACCATCTACAAAAGCCCCTTGATTGTCTGAGTTTATCTCTCCTAATACAGGCTTTACCCTTTTAGATAACACTTTTGCTATAATTTTATAAACACTCCTGATGAGGCTAATAGGCCTGAGGTCTTTTAGTTCCACAGMTCCTTTCTTTTTTTTTTTTTTTCTTTTGGAATCAGTTTAATGAATGTAAAGTTCAAGATTCTTTCTACAGGCACAGATGTATGGAATCACTTGAAAACCTTTAGTAGGTTCCCCTTAATAAGTTCCCAACAATGATACTGACACCCTCTCCTCTTCCTCTGCCCTATCCACCTCCTCAATGATATCTGGACATCTTTTCTTTACCTCTACACCCTTTAACACCTCTCTTCTTCACACCTTAATTTTCTCTTCCAGGGCTTTCAGTTTCTTATCCATGATATGACTGGCTGACCCTTTAAAACTCATTTCATTCCACCAATTCTTACCTATGATATGACTGGCTGACTCTTTAAAAACACATTTTACTAGTCCTATACTCCTACTGAAACTAACTTGATGTAAAGAAACCGGAAGTTACTAAAAATTGTAAATCACAATTTTACTATAAACAGTAATTATGGAAATTGCTATAAATATAAGTCCAAAAGATACCATAAATAGTAATGTTGATATACTAATAGTAAATTTATAGAATACTTAAAACCTTATAATTAAGACACCTACCATTAGAAAATAAATTCAAAAAACTCAAAAGCACTAATACCCATGACACATTCTGAAAATTGCGTAGGATTTGGAAAACTATATTTCTTACTGGATTCTTTCCTTGCTTACATATCTACATCATGAGTTCATGACCTTAAAGATTCAATAGCTAACATTCACAACATTTTTTTTTTCTTTTTTTATGGTTAACTGGTAACTTTATTAAATGAGAAAAGGAATGTTATATGTTCAGATATAGCAATCTATAGAATCCATGTGTTCCCTAATCCCTACTACCATTCAAAATACAATCATCTGTTCTACATGCTAATCTGTTGGACCTCCATTTGTAACCCCACCAGAACATATATGACCCGCTCACTTCTTGTTTAGATAACTCAGTAATAACATTACAAGTTATCACTATGTTACAACTGCAAATTTTCCTTATTGACCATTTTTATGTGCATTTTCTGAATCTAGTTAAATATTTTCTGCTTATAGGTCAGTGGAATGCCAACATTCTGCATTCCTATTCAAGATGGTGGTGTCGGATTTGATTATCGCCTACATATGGCCATTGCTGATAAGTGGATTGAGATTTTCAAGTAAGTCTGAGCTGAAATTCCCAAATTCAATGCCTTCATTGGTTTTTGCATATCTCCTTTTTTATTTCTTTTGAAGGGCTACACAATGGGGGGTAGCCCATCCCCCAACCCAGGTGCAGGCGGGTTTCAATCCCAAGTCTCCACTACGACCAGCAGGAGACCTTACCAACCAGCTGATTGGCACCTTGCATTTTTTGCATATCTCTTTTCAAGAAGATATCCGGTTTCCATTTCTTTAGGAATGTGAAGACAATCCATCTATCTCAAATATTTCAAATTCAGAACTAGAGGACAAGAAGATGCCTTAAAGATTTATGTTTGGGATATTCTGTACTCCATACATAATATACTTTGTAATTGGTGATCTAGATTCTTTTATCTGTAAAAATAATTACATCTGACACACTCAAGATGTAAACATCCATTTCATCCATGATTACATAACAAGTTAATTACTCGTAGACTACCAGTTCCATGCAATAGAAAAAGGTTTGCATGTTTTGCATTGAACCAACAGCAACCATGCTAAACTTCCAACTGTGTTTTTTTAACTGCCTCAAGAGCTTCAATCATTGCCATACTATTTCCCCCCTGATGTCCACCATGCCTTTCTCATTCTTTTTTATCAGAAACGAGTTTGGATCTTCTACCCACAAGATGCTATGATCTATAGCCTCATATCTCAAACATGATTGCTGTCTCAAAAGTATAATCCCATCAATGACAACATAGAAGTATGGAACATGTTTGAGATGTGCTGCTGTAGATCATATTGGAAGCTGTGTGGGTAGTGCCTTTTGGGTAGCAGATCCAAACTCTTCAGAAACTGGTCATCATCATCATCATCATCATCATATAAGCATTGTCCCAACTATATGGAGTCAGCTACATGAATCCTGCTTTGTCATTCTGTTCTGTTCAGTACCATATCCATTGTCAAATTATGGGCATTTAAATCATTTCTTACCACTTCCACCCAAGTCCTTTTTGGTCTGCCCCTACCTCTCTAGCCCCTCCAATTTCTAACAGTTAACTTCTTCTATGCATGCTGAAGATAGTCTTCTATGCATGTGACCAAACCACTTCATTCTACTTTTTCTCATTTTATCACCTATTGGAGCTACTCCTAGGTTCCTTAGTAAGAAACTGGTCACTTATTTTAATTAGAGGAAATAATAGTGTATGCGCACAGTGTACCATGCATCCCATAAGGGCTAGTAATGCTACTCCCACCCTCTTCATTTAAAACTTTTATTTATGGTGTCTTCTTTGTTGGGAAATCACCTTCCAATTTGCTTTCAGTTTGCTCCTTGTCTTGCTAACCTGCCACCAAACCATTTGCTGATCTATGTGCCATTTGAAAGTTGCACTCATCTCCTCTGCCAACCTTTTTTATATCCCTATTATGTTCTATACGCCCAAGGGCCTGCACCATTTTGGTTGCACCATCCCACCACCACTATATTTGTGTAGTATAAAGATTTTCCCAGTCTCAACCCTTGCACCACAGGTCCACAACCATCAATTTGACCTTTATGGTTACCCACTCCAATAGGGCCTGAAAATATTGTTAAGGCATTGCTTTGCACTACCTTTTCCAGGTAAAACTGRATTGCCCAAACTATATCCATCAAAAATTTTCTTGATCAAGTTTGCTGTTGGAGCCTTGGAGGAGTCCAAGTTCTAATAATGATCATTCTAGCTGATGAGGAATCTTCCACAATTTTCCAATGCTGAATAATTCCATCAGTAGATATTAGAGAGGCTGAAACACTTCCAATGTTTTCACCCGGAGAACAACCTTAACAGCAATGCTTTCAAGAAGAGCTCCCTTGGTTTCATTTGTGTCCTTAAGAGATTCTATTGTTGAGTACCAACAGAATTCTGTTTGCATGTAATAGAAGTAAGATATTTCAATTGTTATTTATCAGAAACCAGTTCCATGTAAGATTTTTCATTAAAATGTGAAATATGAAGTTCTCATGAAGTTATTGTGCTTAGAAGTAAAACTGGATATATTATTCGGTGTCTTTGTAGCTTTCTTTTTCCTGACAGTAGAGTTTAGTATCTCAGGGTATCTATAAAGGGGGTGAGGTCCACACAGTTATTTTATCAATCATGTCCTGCTTTAGAGTCAATTCTCCTATCTTTTAAGGGGATTTTGCTTGCTTTTTTTCATCCTCTGTAATATTTGGGTCTGCAAAAGAATTGAATGAGTTGAAGCATGAAGGAGAAGGAACATTTTATGTTTTTAATTGGTAACAGAAGTTTTATTGCTATTTAAGAAGGAATATAGTATTTACAAGTTAATGTCCCCTCACATATATGCCAGTGTTACCACCTATCCCTTATAAGCATACAATTACAACTGACAATTGTTCCCTACGAACTCGTTGTCTACCCTTAGCATTTTCTGATCGTTTCCATTGAAACGCTAATTCAGCTTGCTTGTCAACCATTTGATTTCCTTTATAAATTGTCTATGCTGCCACATAGCCTGACTGTTGGTCCTTAACCATCTGACCATTACTTTAGATTTATGGTATAATATGGGATAAGATTGATTTTAATTTTTCTATTATTCCTGCTTGTGCTTTGGAGGAAGCTCCAATGGAAGCTCATTTCTTCATGTGGTATGCAAGGAGTCTGGGACGTTCTTCTTGTATCAAAGTACCTTACTCTCGGTTGTTGTTTTTGTTGATTTAAAGATCACTCCTACAAGGTGCTAGGTTGAAAGCCTTAGGGGATGTAGTCGTCCAGTTTGTGGCTCTATTCAGCACTTTTTGTTATCTGGTTGGCCCTCATGTTGTAGAGTTCCCTCGTGATATACCATCTAGGTTCTCATGGATGGTCTTGGTCTCTAATCTTGGGACTTATTCTAATCCCGTAGAGTCTTAGGTGGATAAGAACTCCCTTGAAGATGGGTGGCTGATATTTCCTGATGTGGTTATTTTAGAGCTTCTTGTTTAGCTTAGATGCTTTTGCAAGTTGAGTTACTGCATCAAAACAATGTAGTCTTCGTGTTGCAATTTGTTTACTTATTGCCCATCTTGATAATCCATACAGGAGAAGGGATGAAGATTGGGAAATGGGAGATATTGTTCATACACTTACCAACAGAAGGTGGTTGGAAAAATGTGTTGTCTATGCTGAGAGTCATGACCAAGCACTGGTTGGTGACAAAACTATTGCATTCTGGTTAATGGACAAGGTAATTTTGGGTTAACATTATGGTCATATCACTTTTCCTTTTACAGTTTATTGTTCACATGGATATATAAAGAGAAGTATCCATGTAGGCTAAAAGAAGTGCCAAAAGTATCTATGCAGGCTAAAAAGAAGCCAGACTAGAATACTATACTTTTAAGCGCTTATGTACAAAGTTAACTTTGATCTTGAAACCAATGGCCAAACTGACTCAATGATTTAAAAGGTGTGCCTAGCCCCAGGTGCAATGCCTTTGAAAAGGCAAGCGCCTGGTGTGCTTAGTGCACCTTGTGCTTCAGCCCAGGTGTGACGCCTCAGCCCATCTTTGTGCTTTTCCTAGTATAGTGGCTGGGCCAAGGGCTCTTCCCCCCGACCCCCAACTGCTCACTTTCTAGGGCAGAGTAGAATCCCGTTTTTGCTAGTGTTCTCTCATCCTTCTTAATATAATATATTTTCAAAAAATAAAAAAACAATTAAAATTACAAAACTAATATTTTTATATACAAATTAAAAATTTAAGACCTTGGCATGGGCTTGTTTGGGTTTGCCTCAAGGGGCTTGGTATAGAGGTGGCTCGTAGAATTAATAATGCACAATGTTTAACATCAAATTAACTACTTGAAGTAATGCAATTAGGAAAAAACAAAGATATTGAAAGTTTCGCATGGTTGAATTGTAAGTTTCTTAAAAATGTATTATATGTAATGTTTGATTTCATTTCTACATTTTTACTTTGAATATGTTTATATGCTGTGTTTATGTATTTTAATTTGAACCAATAGGTTTTTTAAAATATTTGATTTCTTTTAAAATTTAAGTATGTATTTTTAATTAATATATTTTTTCAATATTTTATTTTATTTTTTGCATTGTTATTTTATTTTTTAATTTTGTGCCTTGCTTCAAAAAGGTGTGCACCTCACATTGCATCTCAGGTGCAAAAACCCCCTTGTGTAACTTCTCTACAACCATTAACATTTTGTATTTTTGTTATACTTAACAATTCTAGAAACAATTTGTTGGTATATCTAGATGAGTTTTATATATAATTATCTTTGTTATAATTCTTCTTTTTCTCTTCTTTTGCTTTCTCAGGACATGTATGATTTCATGGCTCTTGACAAACCATCTACTCCTGTCATAGATCGTGGAATAGCATTGCACAAAATGATTAGGCTAGTCACAATGGGGTTAGGTGGAGAAGGATACCTAAATTTCATGGGAAATGAATTTGGGCATCCAGGTAAGAGTATGCAGATTAATTGAATTTATACTTCTAGTTTCTTAACTTCGAGTTGAATTGCTTCTGGGTTTAAATAGTTACTGATCAATCTGTTGTTTTTTGTTGGCTATTCTTCTTTCCACAGAGTGGATAGATTTCCCAAGGGGTGATCAACATCTTCCTAACGGAAAATTAATCCTTGGAAATAATTACAGCTTTGATAAATGCCGACGAAGGTTTGATCTAGTAAGTATAAAACCATAGCTTATGAATATGGTGTTAAATTTGGACTATTACATTGTTTAGAGTGCTAAATGAATAGATCACCTTTCATTTTACTTCTGGGTTACTTGTAATTAATACTGTCTCTAGATTTTTTATTTTGTCTCCTGCTTCAGTAGGGAACAGCTTAAACAAAGAAAAGTATGGTCTGGTGACTTTGGGCCTGATACACTTATTTGCCACTAGGTCTAGGAATGGACCAGGCAAGGGTGCCACTATACCCTGTCACTCTGCTGTTGCAGTGTTGTCAGCCCCTCGACTATCCAAAAGATTCATAACTTGATAAGGCCATTACCAAATGTTGGTTCCAGCCATTTAGGGTCTTGGGATGGATGGACTGGATACAGACCTAATCTTTGGCCTTTTTTGCTCAAAGTGAATTGTTCCCTTTTTCTCTTCTTTTTTTATTCTTTTTTTTTTTTTGAGAAAGATTTAAGTGTATCCCTTCAGAAAATAAAGGGATTAAATACAGATTATACCAAAAGAGAACTTGTGTCAAAAAAGAGTCCCTATGCTTCCCCCTGAATAGCTTGTATACACCAAGGATCAAAATATTGGTATCAGGTATCGTTTGACAGCTCAGATACGGATATAGGTGCGGATATGCTTTGAAACACATGGATATGGACAAAAGATATGAAAATGCATAGATAGGCTAGGGAAATGCATACAAATCACATAAATACACTAAATCTAAAGCTGAATTATCGATGAATAAGGTATAAACACATGAAAAATGCACACTTTAATAGGTTATATGAAGATAAACATTACAATCAACAATTTTGGGACTCTAGAACATGTACACATCATACAATAATTATCACTCTATTTTAATTTTTATAATTATAATTTTCAATTTTTATTAAAATTTTAGAAAATTTTATTTATTTAGTATTTTTATATAAACAATAACTCTATTTTTCAAGTAATAAGTATGTTTTCATTTTTAACATATAATTTATATGTAAAATAAAACATGTAAATAATTTAAGGAAGATAACATGAATTATTTTTATAATTTTCAGTTTTTATTAAATTTTTTGGGAAAATTAAATCTTAAATTGTTTATTTATTTCAGTTTTTATATTTATAGTTCTATTTCACTTTTTATAATTATAATTATCAATTTTTGTTAAAGTTCAAAAACAATCCAAAAGTGGTCAGTATGCGTATCAGATTGTATCCACCTATACGGTGGAATATGGCCCGATACAGAGGCATATCGTGATGATACGCACAACTCATGGGATACATACCCAGTCATCGCATATCCCATATCCATGGCTATGGATATGAATACGATATGCCTTCTATCGGGGGTATCGCATCAATACTTTAAACCTTGGTGTACACTAACCTAAGAGATCAGCTTGGCTTTTAATCTACAGCCCTTTCTCTACCTAAGTATTTGAATATGGAAAGAAAACCAAACTGGCTGCTGGGATCTTCTTATAGAGAAATCTGGAGGAAAACACCTTCAACTTCTACTTTCAAATTCTTGTGTCTGCCTGAGATGGTCGGTTTGCCACATTACTCCATTTATGCAGCAGCTCAGTCTTAGGAGCCATTTCCCAGTCATTCAGGTTCCTTCTGATCAAAGGTCTCTACTCACCTCTTCCATTACTTATCTCATAGTTACCAGGTTACCGGTTCTGTTTCACCCTTGAACCGCCTTTTTGAAGAAGAAAAAAACATTGGAATGGCCATGGAACTTCTGACCCGGATGGTCAAACCGCTGAACCATTCAACCCGGGCAACTGTTTCTGGTTTAATTTCATAATATGAAACTGAAATGAATTTTTAAAATTAAAATAAAAGAAAGAGAAAAGGGTTGACTGGTTGGTGGGGGAGAAAAAAATAGAGAGAGACTAGTTGGGGGGGTGAAGAGAGAGAGAAGAGAAATCTGAGAGAGATAGGAGGTAACCATTTTTCCTTATTTTCTTTCTCAGCTGTCGTTCTCACCCTCTCTTTTCTAATCTTCTCTAATAAGATATAAAGAAAGCAAACCATTACAAAATGCATATTATGTTTAACAAAACCGTTTGAACCATTCAACCTGGATGGTTGAACTGCTAACCCAGAAATTGAAAGGAAAAGCGGCTCTGTTTCCAAGTCAATCTTTAAAACATTGATTTTAGGAGCTAAATCCTCCAGATCTGAGGACATCAAAAACCTATACAACATTTCTAGGCAAGGATTCTCCTAATTGTTTGTCCACATGAATCTATATACCAGTAGAAGCAAGTCCACCAATTCCTATTTTCTAACAAAGTTTGCAAACTACTGCATTCTCTTTATTTCTTTGAGTCTCCTTGTTCTTTTAATAACCAAAAAGAATAAAACTAAAATCATCACTGAGCACCTAGGGGCATCTCCATCTTCCCATGTCCCTTAAGTTGTCTAGTCATTCCACATCAATTGTTTGAGGTTATCAGTATTAGGGCCAAACATTGACGCTAGCATCCATTCATTCTCCTCTCAGTTTCACATGTATAGAAATAAAGAATGTCTTACTTTTTTTTCTTCACTATAATTTTGTTGGTATCCCAAATGTTCACAATGCCACATGTTGCCCCATCAACCAATAAAGCTACTCAATCACATGGTCTACCGCCCGAAATACTCCTAATAATCGCCTCCAATTTGCCTTCTACTTCCCTATAGACATAAGATGTCAAGTCAGTTCTGTTTCAATTAACCAATATGAAAAACCGGTGATTAACCAAACCAACCGGTATATATTTATAATTTATAATATGTTATTTATTATTTATTATTTATAATATAATATATGTATTTCCAATATTTATATATTTGTTTTTAATATATTATTTTTTTGAGAAGAAGTAAATATCAAAAAACCAAGAAACCGAAGGATCAAATTGGTGGAAAACCGAACCAGCTAACCAATTGGTAAGTTTGGTTTCGGTTCATGGCTTTCCAAAAACCAATGGTATTGGTTCAATTTGGAAAATAAGCCCACGGTTTAGCTACCAAACTGTGAGCACCCCTGCTCAAAACAACCCAAGGCACATGTTGGAGATGTTGATGCCTTTGAGCACATACCTCAAATGCCTTTTGCATGAGATGTACACCTCATGTGTCTCGTGCACACTTCATACAAAAGTAAAGAAAGAAAAGAAAAGCTTCACCCTTCAGACACCCCCTAACACTTTATTGATGCAGCCCAATTTGGATTTTTGATCTAGGGGATCCTGCTCCACTCTAGCTCACTCACCTTCAATTAATAGGACCCACTTTCAGCTAGCGTTATTGCATCCTCATAATTCTTAATAAAAAGGCATCTTTCATCAAAAGGAAACAAGAAAAACAAGCACTCCTGTGGAGGCTTATACTTCCTTGTGCTCGAGAGGTGTATGCCTCTTGTGTTTTGAACTATGCCTTACACCTCTAGGTAGTGGAACACATCGTGTCATGCCTCCTTATTTTAAAACATTGTTGTAAATCTTCCATCCCTCCACAGGTATGATTGCAAGTGTTCCACTCCATAGACTACCTCTGCTTCCTCCCCACCCCTCTCGAGATGCCAGCATGATGCTTAGGTCTTCTCATCTGGAACCTGTTTATCAGACCCTTCTTCTATTAAGACAACATCAATCGGATCAACATGTGGATGCATCTCATGCTTTTCTCTTCCATCATCCTCTCGACATACTCCCGATTGGTCCATCCCCTTTCCTGATTCATTGCATTTTGTTTTTCTGCTTTGCTCTCTTGCCTTTAAAAATCACCCAATCTATGAATCCTTTGAACCTAGCAATAGTATCTGTATTTCAGGTACACCATAGCCCTTTTCTCCCCACTGATTTTCAGTACCAAGTTATTGCTACCCTTAATCTCCTCAAGAAAGAATGACCTGGACTCAATTCTACAGTTGGTCTTCCATTTGGTTGCTCTCATTAACTCCTGCTTCTCCATTTGATCACCTATTTTATAAGATCCACCCATGTAGCACATGTTTAGAGACTATCACCTCCATCAAAAGCCTACATTTCTTAAAGAGAAACAAAAGGAATAACTCCTACAAGGTTAAAACCAAGCAATCCCAATAGTTCTCACGGAACTAAAAGACAAGAGGAAGAAATTCTATTCAACAACAAAGGAATTGTCATTATATACCTTTTCTCTCGCTGAAAATTCAAATAAGTTTTCTGTTTGCAGATTTTGAATAGTTTGTTACCTATTAGGCTTTTTTCTGATGAAATTTGAAGTTGTGAAAGTTCTATAAGAAAGTTGCAGTTTTTTTAACCCTTTAGTGGAAATGACTTATAAAGATTTGCTTCCACCCCATTACATAGTCATCTTTCTGTTATTAACTATTTGATTTGGTCTGCCTATCATTATATTACATCTAGTCTGATTGTTAATATGATCAATATTACCAGGGAGATGCAAATTATCTAAGATATCGTGGCATGCAAGAGTTTGATCGGGCGATGCAGCACTTGGAGGAGGCCTATGGTGTATGTATTACTTATAAGGCTTCTTAATTATCTTAGAATGCAGTGATATATTAGACTTAGACGTAACAACGTTCATGAAGATCATCGACATCATTAGAGTATTTGACATTGAAATACCTAAGAGTGTCTACATGCTTTTCATCCATTATATGGGCAAGTTTTATCAAATCTAATGTATACTTTCATTAATTTGTAAAATGTCCATGGAGTTAAGTGTACTCCTCCAACCTATAAGTCAATAGCGCAAGATATTTTGTTTTAAAAGATAAGTGAAGAAGAGATTTAAGCTGTTGAATAGTCCCTTCATCATCACCTGTTATAAGAATATCATCTACATAGAGGAGAGGGAGAGTCAATCTTCGCTTATGGTGATGTGAGAACAAGAAGTCAAAACTCAAAACAACTCTATGCATGGCTAGTTTCTGTAACAGTCTACCTAAAATGCCCAAACCAAGTTTGAGGAGCTTGTTTTAAGTAGTAGAGGGATTTCTTCAAATTGCAAAACATTGACTTGTCATTAACATAGCTAGGAGGAGGTTTCATGTAGGCGATCTCTTCCAAATGGGAATGCAAAAATGCATTTTTAGCATCCATATGTGAGATAGTCCAGTGTTGGTAGAAATAACTTAAACAKTCCCCACAACAGTCACTTTTTGCAGTGGAGCAAATGTCTCCTCATATACTTGAGCAACCAGACAACCCTTATATTTTTCAATAGTACCATCTGAAACTTCACTATGAAAGCCCATTTTCTACCAATAATAGATGCATTTTGAGGAAGAGGAACAAAGTCCTGAGTGTCATTGTCAATCAAGATTGAACTTCAGTTGCCATGGTCTCCTTCTAGCACAGTGTAGCAGCAGCTTGGTGGTATATGGTGGGGATATTTGTAAAAAGAATTATGGGTGAAGGAAACCCATGATAGCCAAGTGGACCAGAAATGCAAGTTGAGTTACAAATAAGAAACAAAAGAATCTGATTTAGGCAGGTTAGGTGCACTTACCATCAACTCAATTGATGAAGAAAAACCGCCCACAGGGGGTGAAGGAGAGGCTGTAGGCTGCTAAAGATACTGTTACCACTGATAAACCCAAAGTGGCTTTTTAGGATGTATGAGACAGAACTTCCTCCATGGTAATAGGAGAAGTAAAGAAATCAAAATTGTTGTTGATTTTAGTTTTATTTCTACTGTTAGAGTGCTGTCAGCCTAGGGTGCTGTCAGCATGTTCTTTTCTCTTGATTAAGTTTTATTTTTAGGGTGTCCAGCCAGGGACATATTTGTAATTACATCATCTTTTATTTTTCAGCATGTTATTATAAATGTGAAATTGGGTGCCGCCAGCCCAATCTTCTGACTCCCACATACTTTTCTTCCCTTTCTCTTCTCTCCTCTCTCTCTTCTAGAAAGAAGACATTGTATCAGAGCACAACTATGGGCAATAGGAGTCGTCTCTTCTCTGAGTCATATCCATTCAACTCAGTTCTCTGATTTCATGGACAGTGAAGGCAAGAAACCCTAATCGGACTGATCAGAACCACTTCTTGTTGCTTCTTCTGGGTTCTTCCTTGGTTTTAGCACCAAGGTAACCCTAGTAGGAGGAGACCAATGCTGTGAAGCTTCTTCTTTTCTTTTGACTGATGCTGTGAAGGCTTAGTCATGGATTTGCACCTTCATACAGGTGCTGTACAGGGGTATGTGATCCCCTGTCACAGGTATGTGTTGTGATTGGTTGGTGTGTGAAGTGTGTAGTCCAATGGTGGCTGAATTTTAAAATTTCAGGACTGTTTCTGGATTATTTATTTGCTGCCAGTAGATTACAGCAGTGTTCTCTTTATTTCTGGATTGTTTCTGGACTGTTTAGTTGCTGCCAGTGGACCTCAGCAGTTTGTTCTTTATTTCAGAAGTAGTTTTTTGGGGTTTAGTGCCCTAATTGTGACTGTGATAGGTAGTAGTTGAGTGAAGACTGGTCTTGTGCACCTGCGGCCTTTAGTTTTGTCTTTTGACCTGCCTCTACCAATGGCAAATGATGATTCTGCCTCATCTGGGGTTACATCAACCTGTAGTACAGCTGGTATGGGAGCTGAAAATATGATGTTTCCTATGCCAATTACTCCTTTAAATGGCCTGAACTACCTGGAGTGGGCTAAGGTGTAAAACTTTATGTAACAGCAAGGGAAAAAGCTGGTTATATAAATGGAAGAGTGAAAGAACCCAAGAGTGGGACAGTTGAACATGATCGGTGGGACCAAGAAAACAATATGGTGATGTCCTGGCTTCTTGCAGCCATGGAACCTGATGTGAAGAAGAATTTTATGTGGGCAGACATTGCTAGTGAGATATGGGAACAAGCCAAAACCACCTATTCTGAGCAAAGGCACTATTGCCAAGATTTACCAGTTACAAGCTAAATCCTCAACCTGTAAACAGGGGAACCATAGTTTGTCAGCCTATTATTCAGCCCTTACCTCGGTATGGAAGGAATTAGACCACTATCAAGCTATAAAATGGAAACATGATGATAATGATAAAGCCTATAAGAAACTGGTTTCTCAGTAACGGGTTTTGCCTTCTTGTTGGGACTAAACCCTGTATATGAGCCTCTTAGAGTTCAGATTTAAGGAAGTAAAGAGTTGCCTTCAGTTCAAGAGGTGTATGCCCTTGTTCAGTCTGAGGAAAGTAGGTGGAGTGTGATGGTTACAACTGAGGGGGAGCAACAGGTGGCATTAGCTGCAATGGATGGTAATAATATGGGAAAGAAAAATGACTCTAGGAAAGTTGATGATAAGGACAAGTTGTTTTGTACCCACTATCGGCATTCAAAACATACACGTGACACATGCTGTAAAGAACCAAGAACAGGGTAAGGTACAGGGTCAAAAGAAGCCTAATACAGCACATAATGCAGCAAATGTGGCAACCCAAGAAACCCAATCTGTTGGGGTGTCAATTGGTACTACTCGAGAGCACTTCACTGGCTTTGATCCCAAGGAAGATATCATGAACTCCTTCCGTAGTCATTTGGAATCATATGGTAGGGCTTTGCGCTAGATGGACAGTTAAGTTACTGGTACCCCTTCTACTTCATTTGCGTCTACATCAAGTAATGTAGCCTTTGCCTACCATGTCTCCGTTGCCACTGATCAGCGGCCTCTAATCACATGATCGGTAAGCCAAACTTGTTCCATTCTTATAGCCTTTTGTTAGGAAGGGATAAGGTGAGACTTGCAGATGGAATATTCTCCTCCATTGCAGGCCAAGGATCAATATCCCTTCCTCATGGACTTAACTTGAATAATGTTTTGCATGTTCCTCAGCTTCCCATCAATATTCTTTCTATTAGTAATATCACAAACTCTTTAAACTGCAATGTAACTGTAGATGTTCAAGACTGCTATCAGTCTTGAGCACTAATAAATTTCAGGTTCGAAAATGAGAGAAAGTATAGAGGAAAGAGGAGAAAGAGTAGTGAGAGAGCAGTAGAACACAAAGTTTGATAGGAAGGACAGAATCTCAATGTTCTGCCGCCGCCACTTCTATTTAATATTTATAGGTTATGCTAGTTACATGAAAGGACACATCTGCCCTTGGTATTTACATAACACATAA